ACAAAAAAAACACTATATATATATATATATATATATATATATATATATATATATATATATATATACAGTGGGGCCCAAAAGTGTGAGACCACTAGTGAAAACAACCTAACATTTTGTTTTTTGCTTTTCATAATTCTCAATGTGGTCTTTTGGACACCATTGTATTGATCATACTGTATATGTAAGATTTTTAACACTTTCTAAGCTATATCAAAGCTCAAGTTTAAAGTGGCATGTTATTGTATGAAGCAGGAAGTGAATGTAATTTTGCCTGTTTTTTTCCTTACTCAGGTGAAATGAAAGGCTGTGACCAACTTGGCAATGGAGAGAGTCTATTCAAACAGTAATAATAAAAGCAAGGTGCAGAGGTACTGCTCCATATAGTGTTCAGTGACAATTTGACCTCCGTTTGACCAAGTTTTTTTTTCTTAGAAAGAAATTAATACTTTTATTCAGCACGGATGCATTAAATTGATCAAAAGTAAAAGCAGATATATATTTTTTTTACATTATTACAAAATATTTCAATCTCAAAATAAATGCTGTTTGTTTGAACCATGAAAGAATCCTTAAAAAAAATAATGTAATGATAGAGTAATGATGCTGAAAATTCAGCTTTGCATCATAGGATTAAATTAAATTTTAAAATATATTAAAATTGTTATATGTAGTTGTTTTAAATTATAATAATATTTCACAATATTACTGTTTTACTGTATGTTTTGATCAAATAAATACAGCCTTGGCAAGCATAAGGGACTTCTTCCAAAACTTTAAAAACAAAAATCTTTCTGACCTCAAACTTTTGAATGGGAGTATAAATGTAAAGCATTCATCATCATATAGGTGAATGAATGAACAAATAAACCAAAAATATTAATAAACAAATACAGTAGATCAAAAGGTTTGAAACCGTGCTGATAAACTGGGATTGAAAATCTAGCATTACTGTAAAACCTGGAAACAATGATTATGTTAAAGAAGAATTACAATTTTTATGTAATTATGTCCATAAATGTACTAGGAATAAAAACACATGATGTCTTAAGGAACGGGCAGAAAACTTGCAAAACAAAACAAAACAAAACAATGAAATAAAATCAAATTAATAAAATTAAAAACATATTTTATTGTTTGTATTTTGATTCCTGCTGTGAAGTGACCATAAACTGTGGTACCATGGTGCTTACTTGATTTGAATCTACATGTGGGTGGGGCATATGGGAAGTGGGAGGAGCATTTAAGGAATGAGGAACCAAGTACTCCTCAGCATCCATCAGGTCATCCAGCTCCTCCTCATCTAGAAGACTCTGGAAGAACTTACTGTGGTTGGGGCTGGGCAGCTTCATGCGATCGTCCCCCTGAGATGACATTTAGTATAATCCACTGAACTCCAGGAACGTTTCAAAATTTCAAGCAAAGAGAAGTTAAGCAATCCCCACCTGTATGACGAGGTATCTCTGAGGGTCTCGTGCCATGCGGCTGAACTCTGCAGCGAGTTCTTTAAACCGAGGCCGACTATCAGCATCAATCATCCAGCCTGGAGGTGAAGACAGGCCAACAGTAAATCAGAAATATACAACAAAATTCAACTTTGCAAGTAAAATCTTCCTTTACATTTTCATATAATAAATAAATACTCTATATATATGCATTTTATATATTTGCATATATTGAGTTTAAGAATATTAAACTCTCTAAGGTGTTGCAATTGTTATGTTGAATCAAATCATAAACGGCGGCTTCCAGTCAAATCTGATTATGACGAACAGATCTAATATTCATCTCTTTTCACTTCTTTGTGGAATTGACTGTGCCAAAACAAAACAGAGTGCGAGTGCATAAAGAGAGCTGGATATAAAAGTGACAGCAAATACAAGACTAACGTACCAGATTTGGCTATCGCTTTTTACATTTTACTTCATTAGCAAAATGGCACAGCATAATCGTATTAAAGGTGAAGCGCGTCATTTCTGTGCCACCAAATGGAATTTCTGAAACAACATCAGGTTTCTGAAACACTTCCTCTACCATTGGTCGATACAAAGGAAAGCATATACTGTATGAACAGATCAGAAAGTCTCAGAATATGACTCACATTTGACCATCACCATGTAGACGTCTATGGTGCAGATGGGTGGCTGGGGCAAACGCTCGCCCTTCTCCAAGATGTCTGGAATCTCACGTGTGGGAATCCCATCATAGGGCTTTCCTCCAAACGTCATCAGCTCCCAGATAGTCACCCCTGAATGAATGTGAAACATAGTCCACTGTTAGCTAGCAAGATGGTAATGAAACTACAGGAGGTGTATGTGAAACTTATAGAGAACGTGCTGTCTTTACCTACATTTAACTTTCATTACCTTGTAGAAAACAGTATCCCAATTTTGTGTTTTGTTTAGCAGCTCTTTGCAGTTTTATACTCCCAACTATGCTAATTTGCATTTAATCCTTAATTTTGCTTATAGAATTCTTTGAGAACACAAAAAATTAAAATAAACTGTGTGGCGCTGATAGACGCCCATATGTAGCGCCGTTGCGCTTCTGGTGTCCCGAGTTCGAGTCCCAGTTTGCGGACCTTTCCTGATCCTGTCCACCCTCTCTCTCTCGCACTTCGCTTTCTGTCTAACTACGGTCCTATCCAAATAAACTCATACATTTGCCAAAAATAGATCTTAATAAATAAATAAATAAATAAACAAACAAACAAATAAATAAATAAATAAATAAATAGTATAAAAATTTAATAATTAATATAAAATGAATGTTAATATGTAAATGTCAATATTAATTATATATAATTGTACAGATTTTTATTTATTTTCATTTATACGCACCAATGTAACAATGCATATTAAAAACAGCAATATATACAACACTTTTTAAAAGTGTGAGGCCAGCAAATTATTTCTTTTATTCAGTAAGTATCTATATTAAAGCATCTAGATAAATGAGTTAAATTAAAGACAGTTACATAAACGCAGACATATGATCGTACTGATCTTAAACTTTTGACACTAGTGTATTTTTACTATGTACACACACACACACACACACACACACACACGTATATATAATATAATATGCATGCCATACAGAGACTTCTGTGAACATTTTGAGTGATGATGCAAATGAATTCATGCAAATACATCGTTGAATCAGAGTTATTAATGGGAACATTTTCAAACTAAAATATATTAATTGAACATATACATTTGCCACATTGAGATCAAACATTCTGTGAAATCTAATAAGAAAATAAACAGCATATTAAAATATATGCAATAATAATATATTAATATATTATTCAGCGCATGACATGTTTATGTCGACTGCAATTCATTTTTTTAAGAGCTCTCTAAAAATCGTCACTAGCAAAACATCTATATATATCTATATATATTTTTTTTTATTAGAAAAAAAGTCCTACCAATGAAAAATGATGCTCTTTGCCCTCATAATGGTGCATTTCAAGCATCTCCCAACCAGCCAAACCCCTTGACTAATTCATGGCTCTCTGTGAGATGTCATTTGCCGACTTTTTCTTACAGAGGCAACAGCTATCGCTGCTCAGAGTTACTTATGCAGCTGTCTGAGAATTTATGTGAACATGCATGAGTCAGACAAGAACATTGTGTTAAAATACATTTTCTCTGTGATATGGAGAGAGACACTGACCCATCCATCACACGACGGCACTACAGACACTGCTTTAAGAGCCGCCACTGCACACTTTCTACACACACTCTCTAACATTTACTCTCTCCCTCTCTCAAACACAGTCACGCAGAGTGCACACATAAGAAGAAACACAACATATAACACAGAATATCTTAAGCTATCCATGTAGAACATAACATCTGCTTCAAAACCTGTTGAGCTGCTTTTTCCTTTACTTAATACATGCCTTGGTAGCATCTTCAGTGAGTGTTTCATGTCAAGATGAGGCTAAATTCATTCTAATACAGTTTGACAGTTTGATGTTTTATTTGTTGCTTGAATGTACACTACCGTTTTAAAGTTTGAGGTCAGTAAGATTTTTTTTTTAAGAAATCACCTCATTTATTTAGCAAGGATGCATTAAACTGATCAAAGTGACTATATAGAGATTTTTTATGTCACAAAAGGTTTCAGGTGAACATGCATGAGTCAGACAAGAACATTGTGTTAAAATACATTTTCTCTGTGATATGGAGAGAGACACTGACCCATCCATCACACGACGGCACTACAGACACTGCTTTAAGAGCCGCCACTGCACACTTTCTACACACACTCTCTAACATTTACTCTCTCCCTCTCTCAAACACAGTCACGCAGAGTGCACACATAAGAAGAAACACAACATATAACACAGAATATCTTAAGCTATCCATGCAGAACATAACATCTGCTTCAAAACCTGTTGAGCTGCTTTTTCCTTTACTTAATAATGCCTTGGTAGCATCTTCAGTGAGTGTCTCATGTCAAGATGAGGCTAAATTCATTCTAATACAGTTTGACAGTGTGATGTTTTATTTGTTGCTTGAATGTACACTACCGTTTTAAAGTTTGAGGTCAGTAAGATTTTTTTTTTAAGAAATCACCTCATTTATTTAGCAAGGATGCATTAAACTGATCAAAAGTGACTATATAGAGATTTTTTTATGTCACAAAAGATTTCAATGAATGTTACCATGTTATTACTGCATTCATTTTTTTATTGATTAAATATATATATATATATATATATAATTCAATATTGAAACATTATTTTCATGGGAAAAAACAAACACACACACACACACACACACACACACATATATATATATATATATATATATATGAGAGAGAGCGATAGAGTACTAACAATAAACAAGATATTTATTTTAGCATTTATTACAGTCTTTATTTATGCTAGTTCACAGTGCATTAATTAATGTTAACAGATACAATTTCTGACTTGAAAAAATGTATTAGTAAATGCTGAAATTTCTATAAACTGAGACTAACAAATGCTGTAGAAATACTGTCTATTGTAAGTTCATGTTAACTAATGTTAATAAATGGGACCTTACAATAGTCATACTGTCATAATGGTACAAAGATCACTGTTGGGGAAAAAATGTCATTTCTGGCATATATTTCTTTATATTTTTTAATTTATATGTACCATTTGTGTTAAAATAAATGATAAAAAGTTGTTTTGAATAAAAATTGGTTAAAAATAAAGACAGTGAGGTCATTAGTGAGATAATATATTGCTGATGTAGTAGTGAAATACTTGATCAATAACAACTTGCACTTTAAATATAGCAAGACATCTGCAATAACTACTTCAGCTACAGGAACCTTTTCTGTTTATGTCAATCAATTTTGGCATCCCTAAACACCTCAATCCCTTTTTTTCTGCTTTTAGTAAATTACAGTTAATATCTCAGAACTGCAATGCCAGCACAGGCATATTTCACGAATTAATCTCCATTCAGAGCAGTCAGTGTTGGGCCGTACATCGTTACATTAAACATCCCCCCTCACTTATGAAAGACAGTTTATTGCAGGTCAGACACTCTGTATCTTCATCCTCTGCCAAACTACATCTCCTTCTTGACTCTTCATATGATTAGACTGCCAAGACATTTTACATCAATGCACTGTGTATACAAATGCAAATGCAAAAAACAAACAAAACAACCGTTTGTTTGTTAGTTTCTAAAACGATAAATGCATGCTACTCACTGAATTAAACATGCAACATAAAATGCGACAATTTAATTAAAAGTACTTAATTAGTATTACAATTAACAGTTGTACGATACTATTTGAATACATGGCATTATGCTATTGCTTCACACTAACAATGAACAATAACTCATCATTTAATAAAGATTAATAAATGCTATAAAATATATATTGCCCATTGTTGGTTCATATTAGCTAATGCAATAAATAATTTTATAATACCTTATTTTATTGCTGGAGGAAGCACAATTTTGGATTATGTACTTTAACCGTTGAACTAAGGTTTAAAGTTAAACTGCCTTGATGATGTATTTCTTTCTTACACACATGCAGCTTTTTGCTTCACAAGACTATTTTGGATTATTGTGATGTTTTTATCAGATGTCTGGACTCTCATTCTGACGGCACCTATTCACTGCAGAGGATCCAATCGTGAGTAACTAATGGAATGCTAAATTTCTCCAAAGCTGTTCCATTGAAAAAAAAAAAAAAACTTGAGGGCATGAGGGTGAGTAAATATTCAGCAAATTCAAATTTTTAGTTGAGCTATTCTTTTAATGCATAACTATGTGATCAGACCTCTCACATCTGCATCTAGTTCATTCACTACACTTGCATTGCAAGAGGGATTCACACTCACAAACTCTCTTGAGCCCTACACTGCAAATCTACTCGCACAATAATGTTGTCTGTTTCCTTGATGTGTTATGGAGGAGGAGGATAACAGGACTACATACTGTCTGAAAAGCTGTAGTGCGTGGGCAGCACAGGAGGTTCATCAGACAACATGGTATAATTTGTGATAAATACACAGGGTCCATCACACACTGCTGGAACAAAGACAATGATGACTAACTGCGTCACGCTCCACAAAGAAAAAAAATGCTGTCTTTTCTGCTAAGCCTCCAACCGATGAAAGTTTGCAGCTAGCTGGCCAAAGAAGATGTGTAAACATAATTTGTTATTTATGAAAACTCAAGGCTGAACTTGATGCTGTTTGCTTCATACATGATCAATCCAGTTTTCAAGCATCAACACAAAATCAGCTTCACCCTTCATTTTCACGCTTTCATGCTTTAATTGTTAATAGTACTTTACTGACATGATAGTGTTTTCATACAATATTGCATTACACATGAAGCCATGTTACTCCGGACTACAGTTCCCATCATCCATTGCACTGATTACACACACACAGCTGAATGCACTGATTACACACGCACAGCTGAATCCAATCAGACATGCTTTATAAGCCCTGGGCTGTGTCCGAAATCGCCCCCTATACCCTTAAATAGGGCACTATTTGAGGGAACAGCCATTTTTAGTGGTGTCCGAAACCATAGTGGACGTTCTCGAGAGCACTCATTCCATCCCACAATGCACTGCAAAAACGAGTGTACAACTGGTGCACACTCAACGGCTAGAGAATGCCCATAATGCACCGTGAGAGTGACGCGCCGAATGAATTCCCGCATCTCGCCAGAAGATGGCGCCCGCAGCTGAATAATCAATCCGTTCATTTTTACAAAGCGCTAATCCATGGCGTACAGCATAATGTACAACACGGGTATAAATTCATTGTAAATTGATTATTAAATTGTTTGATTAGGGTTTATACATAATTTCCGTGACAGAGTTCAAGATAAATCCTTTAATCTTACTACTGGAGCTGCTAGTTTGCTAGTTTCAAATGATTAATAAACAGCAAGCACAAACAATGCAAAAGCGGCATTCCTTCCGGTGCACTCAGTGTCCGAATTCACTCACTCGTTTTCATTCACTCCTTCTAGTGAACTGAATTAGTGACCTAATGTAGGGAATAGTGAATGAGGGTATAGGGGGCGATTCGGACACAGCCCTGGACTTCCTCGTTCAGATGGCCGAGTATTGCTTAGCATATATCACTCACCTAGCGATAGCTACTCTACGGAACCCGTTAGTTTTCATAGCCTTACCTTAGTCTTGCCTTGACTGTTTTCCTGTATCCTGATCTTTGCCTGTGTACCTCGGATTCCCCCTCTCGTCTTGTCTTATTCAGATACTGTTTGCCCCTGCCTGGACCTTAGCATTGTACTTGGATTTACGCCCTGTTAATTCTGTTCGCCGAACGTAGACCCACGCTAGTCCTAGGAATATTCTTGTGTCTTGCCCTCTATATACCCGTTGCCATTATCTGACCCTTGCCTGTCTCTAACCATGTCTACGAATAAAGCCTTGCATTTGGACCCGCATGTCTCATTTCTCGTCAGCCCCGTAACAATAAGAGACATCTCGCAAAAACTAAATAAAATTGTATAAAAATTAAATTAACCTTAATTATTCTAAACTTTTGGCAAGCAATATATTCTTTTTTTATTTTATATTATTATATTCTGTGATGAAAATCCGCGAGGGGCCTCAGAATGAACCAGAATTATTGCAATAGCAGCAAGTTTCTGCAAAACTAATTTTATATAATTTAAAGCGGAAACCAATGCATGATGTATTCAGATACATCATGCAGCATATGCTTCCATTTGTCGCATATGTACTGATTTTTCAAATTACAAATTCTGTTATGCAACAGATTTTACACTCTACACAACCCTTTTCCCTTTAAACTGGAACATGAAAGAAAAATGTAATGTAAATTTTATGTATTATCATAAACTGAATGACAGTGCATGCAATATATTACAATCAGATTTCAATTTTAGACTGAAAAAGACATGCCTTGCTTAAAACCACATCTGTGAAAAATATGAAAATGGACAAATTTCAAAGCCAATGTGTTATGAAAGATGTTCACATAAAACTATTTATAGCTGGCTAAAGCATAGTTGGCTAAAGCCCAGGCAATCCTATGAGACTGAAATCAGATGAGTGAATGGAAAAACATCCGCATAAAAATATTAGAATTATTTCAGAACTGGATCAAGATTTCTTCCTTTGCCCACATCTTCAAAAGCAAACATTACTAAATCATTCATGAGCACAGAGTCCCATCAGCTGCAGGCGGCTTGAATTAGCCCAGTTCACTCTAATCTGTGATAAGGACACCTCAGCTCTTTTCATAATCAACCATCTTGAAATGAATGATCCAATCAGGCCTTCAATCCTCCAAATCCAAACTCCACACATCTATTAGTGAAGCGGATACCTTGTGGTAATTGGAGGGTTTCAGAGGCTTTCTGCATTTTCCAGAGTGATCAGCAGGCTGAATGAAAGAGCTTATTCAGCTTGGATTAGGGATTGTTTGAGAGGCGATGGAAAAAGATGAATGTCAGCTTTAAACAGCATAAACATAAAAAGGCGATTTAAAATAAATAAATAAATATACATAGGAAAGGCTTATTAACAAACAATATATCTAAATTGAATTGAGGACAGAAAAAGCTGAAAAAAGGGTTGGGAGACCTGCTGCCCCACTAGTGAGTTGCACTTGCTCAGCTAGAAAACCACATATGCATTAGTGGATGTCTTAAAGGAATAGTTCACCAAAAAAATTTAATTAGCTGAAAATGTACTCTCCCAAGCTATCTGAGTTAGTCTTTTCAGAAGACATCGCTTGGATGGATTTTTTTAATGACATATGCAGCTTTTCACTTCACAATACATCAGTTGATTCACTAGATGAGGATGCTCCATGCTGGCCATGATCAGTGCCTCCTAGAAGACAAAAACAGAAAGACTGTAAATGTGCTGTTTTCATCAACAGGGTTTATCGTCAAGTATCTCATAATACAATACAATACATATTGGGAAACCAAATTAAAACCATAATTTAAAACCCCTCCAAAACCACAAGAGAGGCCCAATATGCCTGCAGGAGAAGGTCTGAATCTGCAGTTTCAGTTTCAATCTCTCTCGCACCTCATAGAAGCAATTGAGAACCTTAGCACTTTACACTGGCACATCACAAAGCATACTAACAGCTTAATAAAGGTCACAAGCTTAATTTAAAAAGTTCGCCTTTAGACTTTTCTTTACACTGTACAACGGTTTAGGGTCAGTAAATTAAATGTTTATTTATATTTTTAAATTTATTCAGTAGGGATTGGTTAAATTGAACAAAAACGACAGCAAAGGCATTCAACGTTTCCAAAAAGGCTGTTCTTTTGAAATGTCTATTTGTCAAAGAATCCTGAAACAGACTTCTTTCAAAATCTTACCAACCTCAAACTTTTTACTTTTACTAGTGTACATTTATGCAATTGCAGAAAGCAATTTCAAAGTAAGCCTGAAAATAAGTGTAACAATTTGTTATTCACGTGAACAGCATGATGTTAAGCTATCAAGTCAAAGGCCATATAGCCTTAAAAGCAATAGCCTAAGCTGGTTAGTTACATTATATTCATCTACTTTTAAACATACACAATAATGCATGTAATTTCCAGAAATGATTGTGTCGGTTATTTGATTTGCACTGTTGGTGAAAATGACATTTTCAGTAAATCCATTCCCTTGCATTTTTATTTTTCAAATGATGGTAACAAGTAAAGTAAGGTTTAATTGTAAATTACTCACATCCATAAACTCCACATTGGCTTTTGGTCCTGTGCTTTCATTGAGTATCTTTATGGCCACTGGAATCTTCACAGTTTCTCCTTCTGGAACCCAGATTCCCTTATAAAGAAGATGGCAGCAGAAGTCAATTACATGTTAACTAATATATTGTTGAGGAACCGCAAAACACACAAATCATAAATGTTAATGTAGCACCTTGTAAACAATGCCAAAGGCTCCTGTTCCCAAGATCTTGACCCTCTTAAGCTCTGTCTCTTTCAGTATACGCAACTGTGCCTGGTTGGGCGCTGTGCCGCTTGGCGTTAAAGGCTCCACCAGCTGCTCAAAAGACACAAGCAACATCAAAATCACTCAGCATAATCACAAATTCACACATAACTACAATGTCTACTTCAGTTTGATCCACCAGTCACAGGTTAGCTCTATAATAGACTCATGTTCTGTCTGATAATATTATTGTCATCATGTATGAATGTATTCATTTGATTATAGTCTGGGTTTTGCCTATTTTAAGTTTTCAGTTTGCATTGCTCAGTCTTTGATTTCCCTTCTTTGCTTCTCGAGTTAAGCCTGTGTTTATACAGAGATTCTTTCAGTGACATTATTTAACTTGACTTACCATTTCTTGGCTGATCTTTAGACTTATCAAGAAGTTAGTGGACTTGCTTATAATCCCAAACCAATTTCCAAGTGCATATGCCTTCAACAGAGCTTTCAGGGCCTCAAACTAGATATCTGTATTGAGACCATTCAAAACCACAATGCCTTTTGTCTTTTCATTTTCACCTTTAAACCTCAACTAAAAACAAATCAACCTGAAACAATAGTAGATACTGTTAACAGTAGATCAACTTGGTGCTCTAAACTCCTTAACATCTAACAGAACTGCAGATTCCATAATATTGACTTAAACTTTATATCAAATGCACACACTCACACACATACTGGCTGCAGAACATTTTGAAGTACTTTCATAAGTTTCCATTTAAGGATCTGAGAATGATCTCCATTATTCCATTTGAGATTTCCCCGCCATTGAAGTGAAAGAGGCACTTTCAAATGGAAAATTGAGACTGGCTATAGACCCCACATGCACCACAACAACAATTTCACTGGCCAGTTTTCTATCTGATTTTCTTTTTTCTCTCCCTCTCTCTCTTTGCGTCTCATGAGACCAAATGTTTTTCAGATTAATTCTCTGCAACCAAATTATTCAAAATCATTTTAAATGCTGTCCGATTTTTAGCTCGCACCTCTGTTTCCAGGAAACGGCGTAAAGCTCTTTTCTTCTTGATGCTCTTCCGTCGGAAAAAGATAGCAAATCCGAGGGCCACAATTACGACCACAAACATCCCCCCAATCACCCCAGCTGCAATCAGAGGAGTCCTGGAGGAAAATGCAAGGATTTAAAACATATACCATAATATACTGTTAGAACAATTCAGAGTATATAAAATACTGCATTGTTTTTAAGGGAAAAGGTATTATCGATGCAATCACAACCACAGCTCTACGCACTGTCATATTATTTTTCTGTTAATATTATAAAAGTGAGAAAAAGTGTCAACTCTCAGTAAAAACTTGGACTTTTAAGAAGGACCACTGCTTTTCCAGAAATAGTGGCATGTTTTTTTTTTTTTTAAATCATAAATCAAGCTTCTAGTTGGAAAAAAAAACTACTTGGAAAGATTCTGTAATGTGTTGACTGTATTTGATTAATTGATTATTAGTTTCCTGAAATTTAGTGTTAGAAATTTAGTTATGAAATACTTTGCTTTTGACCTTCATATATTATATGTCGAAGGCTGCACTTATATTTTATTTAGCAATTCTTTAATATAAAAGTCAGAAGGATACTGTATGTGTGGCATGTGTTATGATCGAATCATCATATTATGTGTATTTTTTTTATTATTTGTACAGGTATATCATATATCATTCAATTATTTTCTTTCTTATTTGTAAAGCAAATTATTCGTAACAAATGAATGATAATTATGATATTCTTACGATAAAAAAAGCTTCACATTGTTGTAATATCGCATGTATCTCGAGTTAATAGTTTTTTGTTTTTTGTAAAATGGTAGAAACATTTGAAAAACGTATGGTCTTATTTTTTTACTGTTTATATTATTATGCAACATTTATATGTTTCTTGTAACTTTGCTTTAAAAGGTGATATGTAAATAAGGCTTCAAAACTTTCAAAACTTTGAGGTCAAAAGAAATTAAATAAAGAAATGAATACTTTTATTCAGCAAGTTCACAATAAATTGATCAGAAGTGACTAAGTATATTGTGAAATAATATTTCACAGTGTTAATACATTTTTTTGTCAAATAAATGCAACTTTGGTTAGCATCAGAGATTACTTTCAAGAACAGTAAAAAATCTTACCGACTTCAATTTTTGAACAGTAGTGCACATTATAAATATAATTTGGATAATCCATGTTTTATGCTGCTGTAAACACCATCAAAAGCATTTACTGCTTTATCCTGATCCTTATTAACAAGGCAAGAACTTGTTAATAAGATGTTTGTAATGTAATTACTGCAGTTGCCATGACAATAATAAAATCTCAAGGGCCTCAATAGGCTTTGTGTGTTGAGTAGCGCTGGCCTGGAGGAAAAGACAAACACACATGCATGCAGAAACCTACCCCTGGGTGCAGTTGGGGTGGCAGGGATGGCACTCGTTGTTGGTCTCGGCATATTTGAAGATGAAGCTGTTTGCTCCCTGCAGACCATCAGGACATTTCTCCACACAGTTGGGTCCATCTTTGAGATGCAAGCACTTCACACAGTGATCTGGACCCTAAACCATACAGACAAAATGCTTGACAATGACATATAAAATTAAATTTGTCTAGAAGTCGTACTTGAGGGTGGACAAATAAAGGAAAACAAACTACTTACAATATTTTATTGATGCTTATCCCAAATATTTTATGCACATGTTACTTTTTGGTACTTTCTTATGAGTTTGAGTAACTTTCATTAAACTTTTACTTAAACCACAAAGCGGTGCTGAAAACAAACAAATTCATACATATTTGATCAAAGTAATTGCCCATTTTGAGACGGGTGTCACACGGTTGGACGAGTTCTTACGTTCTTTGACAGCTCTGATGTTGCTAATTATGCAGCTTATGAATTGAGATGGACAGGCAGGTTATCATAAGAAGATGACAGCTTTGTTCTTCTGTATTTAAATTCTAAAACTTTGGCACTTGAATTTTTACATTTTACAGACAAAATAGAGGACTTCTAACTTAATTTACTGAAAAATATCATAATGATGGCCCGGATGGGTTGGAATGGAATAGCAGAGCAAATTTAAAAGGTATTTTAATAACTGTCAACATGGTGTTCGTATTCAATTTTACTCAAAAAATGTAGGGTGAGATTTGATAGGGAAAATTCGAGGCAAGTTTATGCATTTTTATGAAAGAAATAGAAAAAAATCTTTGGAATAAAGTGCACAAATGAATCACGGACAACCAAGAAAGTAGTTTGATCAATTCTGATGATGTTGACTTTAGGGGCCGTTTACACGACAATGTTTTCAGCCAAAAACGGGAAACTTTTTATGCATTTTGCCTGTTCGTTTACACGACAACGGCGTTTTGGGGACTGAAAATGCATATTTTTGAAAACGTGTTCCAAAGTGCAAGTTTTTGAAAACGCCACCATTATCGTTTCCATGTAAACACCCAAAACGGGAATTTTTTAAAACGGTAACGTCATGCGCGTGCATAGTACGTGTTAGGTATGTAGACATGCACAGTACGTGTCGATTTTAAAGGCAAGCGTGAACAAACATATACAGCAATGGCGAAGTACATGGTACTGTTGTTGCTGCTCAAGAGTTTGCTAACACTTCTTCAGCAAAGTGTGGATTTACTTCACCAATATTACAACCAACAGATGAGACGCATATAAAACATCTAATCGTCACCTCCCTACAGGTACTATTTACTAACAAGGTGACAGCGCCAACTACTGGCCTGGCATACATAATACAGCGTTTTTTGCCGTTTTCGCAGATATGTGTTACGCGAATTGTTTTAAAAACGTTGTCGTGTATACGTGAAACTTTTTAAAAACGCAATGGAAAAACTTTTCCGTTTTTGACTACATCGTTTTCGTGTAAACGTAGCCTTAGATAGCACTGCTTGGTTTACTTACAGGGCCATGACAGGTAAAAGTTTTATCTTCGGCCTTTTCACACTGGCTGTCACACTCCACACACACTGATCCATTGGCAAACTCGCGAACATCTCTAAAATATGCACATGAATAAAATAAAAATAGGTTAATTAAACATTATACTTTAAAACAATTACATTAGCAAAATTTTAATAAAATAAAACAAAATAAAATAATGAAATATCATTTAGTTTTATTTATCATTTTCCAACAAACAATTCTGGCCATATATGCAGAAATAATTGTCATATAATTATTCCTTTATCAATCAAAAGCATTTCAAAGTAGGTGATGCATTCTCTCTGCAACAACACATACAGCAGGTTTTGTTTTGTCTCCGACTCATCCTCCATGTCTTCTTGAACCACAGCCAACTGAACCACAGACACTATATTCACACACTGACGAGAACTTGGCTAATACACCAGTCGGCTGAGTAAGATCCATGAAAAAATAAAGGCATTTTAATTAGAAAAATCTTTCTCGGCACTGGTCTGAGAGGAAAGAACAAACAGTCCTCTTTAAATTTTATCTAAACAGATGGCAGCTCAGATTGCAGGAGATACGGCAGAGGGGCTGCCTAGCAGAGCCATCAATACCCTTTCCTTTGTTCGTTTCCATCAGCCCATGTTTCAGAGGAAAATTTTGAAAGCCGGTTCCAAAACAGGGAAAGATGGTGCCTTGTCAATAACAGAGTGGGAATCAAAGAAACCTCCCAGATCTTAAAACTATGGAAATCGAGTGTACGAACACTCACAGTTTAAAGTTTGTCACACTGGAAACTATTACAGTCAAAATAGGTGCTAATGTGATGCCCTAAACCAACTAAACTACCAACTGCAAACTACCAAGACATCTACCCACCTACCTACCTACAACTCTGAATGGGTGTTACTTTAAAGGTGGCATATCATGAAAATCTTAGTTTAGTATGTGCATGCTTCGGATGTGTGCATGCAGAAAATCAGAAGTTTAAACTAATATGGTTTAAAACACATGATTTCATGACACAACAGACATGATAATCAAAACCAAACAGATGTTTTTTTAGCAGAGTATCTGAGGAAAGAGCTGTAAAGGCACAGCCCAATTCTGGAAAAGGGGGCGGGGAGCAGCAGCTCATTTAAAGAGACATGCATGACAACAGTGTGTTTCTGCTTCCACTCAAAATAGGCATTTTCAAAATGATATAATAAATGATCTGTGGGGGGTTTTAAGCTGAAGCTTTACAGACACATTCTGGGGACACCTGAGACTTAGGGTGCTTTCACACTTGGTTCACTTGATGGTCCGAACCCGAGTTCGATTGCTCCACCTTCCCACTGCCCCCGCTGGACTGCATTCATATTATTTTATTTGGGTCCGAACCGCGGTTCGTTTGCATTAGCAAGCCAGCAGCTGTTTACCCCGTTGCTTAGTAACGACGGCACAGGAGAAGGCGACAAATGCATAACATTGCTCTCTGCACTTTTATACATTTACGTTTTTGAACCGTTCGTTTTGTCTACAAAGATTCGGTACATAACGGCACTTACGTCTGTCACGTTTACATCAGCAGCGAACCGTACCCCAGACCACCCTTTTTAAGCGGACTCGAATACGGTTTGCGGGTGCGCACCCGAGTTCGGAAGACAGCGTTCACATCATCCAAACGAACCGAATTCTGACATCAATCGAACCCGGATGCGCACTAAAAGTGCTAGTGTGAAAGCACCCTTATATTACATATTGTAAAAAGGGGCATAATAGGTCTCCTTTAACATATTTTAGTTTACTTTACTTTATATTTTAAAAGTAAATTCAGCATTATTTTATTTCATTTAAATATTTATTATCTACCCATCTACCTACCCACCTACTAACAGCTGTTAACTGTTTTATTTTATTATTTGACTTTTGTTTTATGACTAAAAATGTAATTAACCAAACATCATTTAATTTGATTCACCAAATAATCAGAATCAGAGCTACTAAGGCTTCTATTTACCCATCTACATACCCACATGTCTTAATTGTTTATTTTATTTTATTTATTTTATTTTGTTTTAAATTCACCAAGTGAATTTAAAATAAACACATAACGCTGTTCTCAGGTCTGAACTCTTGGTTGAGTGACTGGAGATGTTTGGCACATCCCCATTCATAGACTGGGCCTGCTGATTTAAAGTGCAATTAATTGAGTGTAATGAGACCCCTGTTCATTCTCCAAAATATGACACTCCCCCACAGCTGATTATTGTTAGGAACTAAATTACATTTTTCTGCCACAGGGAATCCTATTCAGATGTTGGTCAGAGTTGCCATTGTTTAATGACTACAGCAGAAAAGCAGTGCCAACCAAAGAGCTCTTCTCTGACGCTCCCGGTGGACCAGAATGTAAATTTGTTGTCAGATGAGAGTTTCCTCTTTGTCATTCACAGATGGCAGTGTGTTCTGAGCCCGCTCGGGACAGGCCGAGGAACAATTAGCTGGATTTGGTCTGTGCATGCCGTAGTGCTGACCAGACGTGGTCCTGCTGCCTTCTGCGTTCAGACTATAACTTTTAGATGAAATCCATCCCTCTCTCTGATTCTTTTAATCTTTTCTCACACATCCCCAAGGCAGAAGTTTGTACACAATTGTGTTTACAAAGTGGCTGGGGGCGAACGGCAATCTAAATGATAGATAGTCTTCATAAAACAAAAAAAATACTGCAGTAACCATGGCTGTACCCAATAGTCTAGTGTCAGAACTTGTGGAGATTCAAACACTGCCCACACAATGATGTTATTCATGAAACAATGACAGAATGAAATTGTGTAATTGGTATATAAATATATAAACAGTCAACTTGACAACTGAAAATTGTATTTATGAATTTAGGTTTATTAAGGTCTTAATGATATACTGGTCAAAAGACTTACAGCGTACAGCATAAATTTAGTGTTATTAGTGAAATATGTTATGTATTATATGAATTTCTTTACAAAAAAACTAATTTTTTTTTGTCTTTTTTACACCAACATGTTATTAAATTATATAAACAATAATATAAAAAATGAATATTCATGCATATTTAATTATATATTGTCTCATTTGCATATTTAAACAATATTTCTGAAGAAATGTAATGCAAAACAATGTCTATCTATCTATCTATCTATCTATCTATCTGTCTGTCTGTCTGTCTGTCTGTCTGTCTGTCTGTCTGTCTGTCT